TCACCGTGAGGCCTGGGGAGATGATTCAGCAAGTAAAAGTACTTGCCACACAAGGCTGATGAGCTGAATTCAATCCCCAGAACCCACATAAAAAGTCAGATATGGGGGCTGGAAAGATGGCTCAATGGATAAGAGCACTGACTGCTCTTGCAGAGGACCCAAGTTTGATTCCCAGCACCCACATGGCAGTTAGGAACCGTCCTTAACTCCAGTTCCAGGGGAGTCTGAAGCCCCCTTCTGACCTCTGAGGCATTGCACGACACGGATGCACTCACATATATGCAGGCAATACACACATACACATAAAATAAAAATAATAAATAAAATAATAAAATATTTTTTAAAAAATCAGATATGGTAGCACACATCCCTAGTCCCAGTCCTCCTATAGTGAGACAGGAAGCAGAAACAGGGATCTGCCAAAAGCTAGTTTAACAGCAGAAATAAGTAAGACCCTGCCACAAAACAAGGTAGAAGACAGGGCTGGGTGTGGTGGCACACGCCTTTAATCCCAGCACTTGGGAGGCAGAGGCGGGCAGATCTCTGTGAGCTCAAGCCCAGCCTGGTCTACATAGGGAGTTCCAGGACAGCTGGGACTACAGGGAGACCCTGTCTCAAAAAAGACCCCAAAAAAACAAAACAAAACAAAAAACAAGGTAGAAGAAGTGAACCAATTCCTGAAAAGTCCTCTGACCTCCACAGGCACACCATGACAGGTATGTACCCTCACTCACACACACAAAGTAAGTCTTTAAGAAATCACTGTGGGGCTGGAGAGATGGCTCAGAGCACTTGTTTTTGCAGAAGACCTGGGTTTGGATCCCAGCACCCACACGGAGGCTCACAACTGTTTGTAACTCCAATTCCAGATCTGACCACCCTGGCATACACATGGTACACACACATATATACTGGTGAAACATTCATACATATAAAATAAAAATAAAGAAATGCTTTTTCTTTTCTTTTTTTTTCTTTTTTGGTCTCTTTTGGGTTTCCATGTAGCCCCAGCTGGCTTGGAACTACTTTGTAGACCAAGCTGGCATAAAACTCAGAGATCTACCTGCCTTTGCCTCCCAAGTGCTAGAGTTAAAGGCATGCCCTACCATGCCCAGCTACAAATAAATAAATCTTTAAAAAAACAAAGGGAGATTAGTGTGACTAAGTGTGGTACTACATGCCTGAAATCCTAGCACTAAAGAATGCTGAGACATAATGAAACAAAACATTTCTCTTGTGGTAGGGATATAATTTAGTTGGTAGAGTGCTTGCCTAGCATTCATGAAACCCTGGATTTAATCTGCACCAGCACATAAACCAAGAGTGTCTGTAATTCCAGCACTTGTGAGGCAGAGGCAGGTGAGATCAAGGCCAGCCTGGTCTACATAGCAAGTTTCAGGCCAGGTGGACTACAGGGAGCTCCTGTCTCAAAAAAAAAAAAAAAAAAAAAAAAAAAAAGTCAGAATATCAATTTGGGGTCTGGAGCGATGGCTTAGTGGTTAAGAGCACTGACTGCTCTTCCGGAGGACATGGGTTCAGTTCCCAGCACTGCCATTGCAGCCTAACAGCCATCCTTATCTCCAGTTTCAGGGAATCTTACTACTTCTGGCCTCTGTGGGCATTGCATGCATGTGCTACATTTACATACATGTAAGCAAAACACTCATAAACAGAGAAAGAAGGAGAGAGAAAAAAAGAAAGAAAGAAAGAAAGAAAGAAAGAAAGAAAGAGAAAAAAGAAAGGAAAGAGAGAGAGAAGGTGGGAGGGAGGGAGGGAAAGAAAATATCAGTTTGTATTTGGGGTTTTTTTGTTTTGTTTGGGGGGGTGGTCTTTTTGAGACAGGGTCTCCCTGTAGCCCCATCTGGCCTGGAACTTGCTATGTACACCAGGCTGGCCTCGAACTCTGCCTTCCGAGATCAGTTTGTATTTGTATGAAACTGATACTTTTGAGTGAAGTAAGTTATAAGGGGTGCAGAGGAAGGGGACCAGATTTTCCAAAAATATGGGCACAAATTTTCCTTTGGTTTGCTGACAGGTAGTAGTCAATGTATCATCAAGGTTAGCACTCAGTTATGACCTCAAGACTTACCTCACCAACACCCCCAGTTCAGCAGTATTCAAAGTCTTCATCAGCACTGGCAGAAATGATGTCAACCTCAAAGGTAAGGGATTTAACTGTAGGTCTTATGATTATATGCATCTTTCTCCTTTTCCTCGATTCATTTACCCCTTTGGATTAGTAATGTTTTTTTTTTTTTTTCGGTCTTCTTTAGTCTTTTTGAAGTAGGGTCTCCCTGTAGCCCCAGCTGTCCTGGAACTCACTATGTAGGCCAGGCTGGCCTTGAACTCAGAGATCCGCCTGCCTCTGCCTCCCGAGTGCTGGGACTACGCCTGGCAGTAATGTTTTCTTTACTGGCTGGGCATGGTGGCGCATACCTGTGCGACTTGGGTGACTACAGGAGGAGAACTGCAGTAAGTTCAAGGCCATCCTGGGCTACTTAGCAAGATGAAGACCAGGCTGGCCTCAAACTCACAGAGATCTGCCTGCCTCTTGCCTTCCAAGCACTAAAGGCATGCACCACCACACCAGGTTTGGTTTGGTTTTTGAGACAGGGTCTCTTCATGTAGCCCTGACTGGTCTGGAACTCCTTATGTAGACCAGGTTTGCCTCCAACTCAGAGAGATTTGTTTGTCTTTACCTCCTGAGTGTTGGAACTAAAGGCATGCACACCGAGCACAGGCCTGGTTGGTTTGTTTTCTTTTTTTCATTTTTGTTTTTGTTTTTTGATACTGGAATCAAAACAAGGGCCGAAACCCAGGTCTTGTGTATATCAGGTAAGAGCTCTGTACACCCCTAGCCTGGATTAAGGTGTTTTTTTTTTTAATTTTTATTATTTTTATTTTATGTGTATGCATGTATTGCCTGCATGTCAGTAAGTGCACCTGTGTTGTGGAATGCCCATGGAGGACACAAGAAGCTGTTGGATCCCCTGGAACTGGAGTTACAAACAGTTGTTAGCTGCCATGTGAGTGCTGGGATTCAAAACAGGTCTTCTACAAAAACAACCAGTGTTTTTAACTGCTGAGCCATCTCTCCAGCCCTGGATTAAGGTTTTAAAATAAGATCAACCTACTTACTACTTTCTTCTTAAAAAAAAAAAAAAAGGAGCCAGGTATGGTGGCACATGCTTAGTCCCATCACTCAGGAAGTAGAGGCAGGTAGATCGTAGTGAGTTTGAGGCCAGCCTAGTCTACATAGCAACCTGTCTCAAAAAGACCAAAAAAAAAAAAAAAAAAAAAAAAAGAGAGGGGGGTATGTGCACCACCCTCACCCAGCAACATCTTTTTTTTTTCCGGAGCTGAGGACCAAACCCAGGGCATTGCACTTGCTAGGCAAGCGCTCTACCACTGAGCTAAATCCCCAACGCCTCTTTTTTTTCAATTTTTGTAAAAAAAATATTTTAGGGGCCGGAGAGATGGCTCAGTGGTTAAGAACACTGGTGGTTCTTGCACAAGACCTGGGTTCGAATCCCAGCACCCACATGGCAGCTAACAACTGTCTGTAACTCCAGTCCCAGGGTATCTGACAGCCTCTTCTGATCGATGTGAGCATTGCACAACACAGGTGCACTTACCTACATGCCATGGAAGTCAGAAGAGGGCTTTGGATTCCCATGGAATTGGAGTTAAGGACAATTTGGACCACCATGTGGGTGCTGGGAATCAAACCCGGGTCCTCTGCAAGAACAGTCAGTGCTCTTAACTGGTGAGCCATCTCTCCAGCCCCTAATTATTTCATTTTTTATTTTATGTGCATGAGTGTATTGCATGCATGTAAGTGCACCCGTGTTGTACAATGCCAGAGGAAGTCAGAAGAGGGCGTCAAAACCCTGGAACTAGAGTTATAGACAGATGTTAGCCACTATGTGGATGCTGGGACTCGAACCCAGGTCCTCTGCAAGAGCAGCCAGTGCTCTTAACAGCTGAGCCATCTCTCCAGCCCCACCCCATTTTATTTATTTATTTATTATTTATCACTGTAGATTATTCTATATTCCTATTTATTTATTTATTTATTTATTTATTTTGGTCTTTTTGAGACAGGGTCTCCCTTGTAGACCCAATTGACCTGGAACTTGCAATGTAGACCAGGCTTGCCTCAAACTTACAGAGATCCACCTGCCTCTGCCTTCCAGCCCCATTTTTTAAAAAAAATTTTTAAATTATTTTTATTATATGTATTTTGCCTGCAGGCATGTAAGTGCACCTGTATAATGACATCCCTGTGGAAGCCAGAAAAGGGCATCAAATACCCTAGATCTGGAGTTATAAAAGGTTGTTAGATACCATGTGGGTGCTAGTTTCTCTGCAAGAGGCAGTGCTCTTAGCTGCTGAGCCATCTCTCCAGCCCCTAATTTTTTTTTAATAATAAGGATTTATTTTTATTTATGTGTATATGTATATATATATGCTGTGTGTGCAGGTGCCCATGGAGGCCAGAAGAGGGTGTCAGATCCCCTAGAGCTGGAGTTACATGCAGTTGTGAGCCAACCAATGTGGGTGCTGGGAACTGAACTGAGGTCCTTTGTAAGAGCAGCAAGGGCTCTTAATTGCTCAGCCATCTGTCCAAAACCATTGTCATTATTATTATTATTATTATTATTATTATTTTCTTATTATTATTATTGGTCTTTTTGAGACAGGGTCTCCCCATAGCCCCAGCTGGCCTGGAACTCACTATGTAGACCAGGCCGGCCTTGAACTCAGAGATCCACCTGCCTTTGCCTCCCAAGTGCTGGGATTAAAGGCATGTACCCATGCCCAGCTCACAGACAATACTTTTTAAGGGCTAGAGTGATGGCTCAGCGGTTAAGAACACTGGTTGTTCTTGCAGAAGACCCGGGTTCAAGTCCCAGTACCCACATGGCAGCTAACAACTGTCCATAACTCCAGTCCCAGGGGATCTGACAGCCTCTCCTGACCTCCGTGGGCATTGCACCACACGGGTGCACTTACCCACATGCAGACCCTGGACTTGAACTCACAGAGATACACCCACCTCTGCCTCCAGAGTGCTGGGATTAAAGGCATGTTCCACCACACCCAGCATGTTTCTCCTTTTTGCAATTTATTTTTATTGGTTTTTGTTTTTTTTTGGGGGGGGGTCTTTTTGAAGCAGGGTCTCCCTGTAGCCCCAGTTGACCTGGAACTCACTATGTAGACCAGGCTGGCCTTGAACTCACACAGATCTGCCTGCCTCTGCCTCCCAAGTGCTGGGATTAAAGGCATGTGCCACCACGTCCGGCTTATTTTCATTTTTATTGATCTGTTTGTGTGTCTGTGAATGAATGTCATGTGTTCTGCCCTTGGAGGCCAGAAAAGGGTGTTGGATCCCTTGGAACTGGAATTACAGGTGGCTGAGAGTCACCCACTATGGGTGCTGGGAACCATATTCAGGTCCTCTGGAAGAGCAACAAATATTCTTTTTTTCCTTTTAAGACTGGGTCTCACTATGTACTCCTCTATGAGCAACCTCTCTAGCCCCTTAAAAATGTCTTTCCTTCTTTTTCTTTAGGTCTTTTTGAGACAGGGTCTTCCTGTAGCCCCAGCTGGCCTGGAACTCACTTTGTAGACCAGGCTAGCCTAGACCTCACAGAGATCTGCCTGCCTCTGCAGCCAGAGTGCTGGGATTAAAGACTTGAAGCACCCCACCCAGCTTAGAGTTTTTTGTATAGTGGGGCTGGAGAGATGGTTCAGCCGTTAAGAACACTGGTTGTTCTTGCAGAAGACCCAGGTTTGAATCCCAGCACCCACATGGCAGGTAACAACTCCAGTCCCAGGGGATCTGAAAGCCTCTTCTGACCTTTGAGGGCACTGCACAACAAGGGTGCACTTACCTACATGCAGGCAATACACTCAGACACATAAAATAAAAACAATAAATTTTAAAAAGCCAGGTGTGGTGGCGCACACCTTTAATCCCAGCACTTGGGAGGCAGAGGCAGGTCGATCTTTGTGAGTTCAGGCCAGCCTGGCCTACATAGTGAGTTCCAGGACAGCTGGGGCTACAGGGAGACCCGGTCTCAAAAAGACAAAAAAAAAATTTTTTTTTTTGTATAGCACATTCACCTATTGTTGTCCAAGCCATGGCTTTATCTTTTTTAATTTAGTTGTTTTGTGCATGTGTGTTGGTGGGGACACATGCCATGGTGTACAAATGGAGAACAGAGGATAACCCCTGGGTGTCAGTCCTCTCCTACTATGTGGGTTCTAGGGATCAAACTCAGGTCATCAGACTTGGCAGCAAGTGCTTTTGCCCACTAAGCCATTTCACCAGCCCCACGACTTTATTTTTTAGAGACAGGGTGTTGCTATGTAGCCCTGGCTGGCCTCCCCTGATTGCAGATGTGTGTCATCAATTTATGATTTTATAAACAAACAAACCCCACCTTCCAGAATATGAAAGGACAGCTTCTTTTACAAGAATCCTTATGCGGGGGCTGGGGGGGGGGAAGAGGGCTGGAGAGATGGCTCAGCAGTTAAGAACACTGACTGTTCTTGCAGAAGACCTGGGTTCGAATCCCAGCACCCACATAGCAGCTAACAACTGTCCCTAACTCCAGTTCCAGGATATCTGACAGCCTCTTCTGTCCTCCACAGCCATTGCAGGACACGGGCGCACTTACCTACATGTAGGCAATACACGCATACACATAAAATAAAAATGGTAAGGTCTGGAGAGATGGCTCAGTGGTTAAGAGCACGGATTGCTCTTGCAGAGGACCCAGATTCAATTCCCAGCACCCACATGGTGGCTACGAACCATCCTTAACTCCAGTTCCAGGAGTATCTGAAGCCTCTTCTGTCCTCCACAGCCATTGCAGGACACGGGCGCACTTACCTACATGTAGGCAATACACGCATACACATAAAATAAAAATAATAAATAAAATATAAAAAATAAAATAAAATATTTTTTAAAAACCAAAGGAAAGAAACACTTAAGGTGTGGATACATGTTTGGGACAGATCAGAATGGGGTATGCAGGCAATGGAGAAAGAGCCTTGGCAGACTGAAGACTACAGAAACTACAGGGGAAAATCCTGTTAACAAGATGCCAGGAAATCAGTACCTATTTAATCTAGACGAATGCCAGCTGAACCAAGCAGTGCTATCCATTTCTTCCTGGCTACATGGTTCCTGTTATGACACTACTTGTGGAAAAGTTTTAGGTATTTGGGGTTTGATTCATACTGCAATCATGTATGGAGAACAAACCTCCTAGACTAACTGCTACCTCCCATATTGAGTGCTTTACTGTTAGTAAATGTTCAGCTTCCTTGGTTTTTAAGACTTATGTATTCACACACACTTCAGTAGCTGGTTCTTGGTTCTCTACTTCCACGTCACTTTGAGTCAGGGTTTCTCTCATTATTTCTGTTCCTGAGTAAGCTTTCAGCTGATTCCTGTCTGCATCCCATCTCACTGTAGGAATACTGGGACAGATGTGAACCACATCTGGGCAGCTGGTTTCTGGGGATCAAACTTAAGGTTGTCAGGTTTGCATGGAAAGTGCTTTCGCCTGCTGGCCCTATCCAACTTTCTTGTAACCTAATTTCTACTGTTGAATAACAAAAAACTTTGAAAAAGGACACCACAGACACCACTTATGTATTGATAAGAAACCCCACTATGGCCATTCAATTTAGCAGAGACAAAGGTCTGTTCATCTACCTGGATGGCAGCAGAGCTGTGCTTTCTTTTTGGGTTTTTTTTTTGTTTTTTTTTTTCTGGTCTTTTGAAAGAGTGTCTCCTTGTAGCCCCAGCTGGCCTGGAACTTACTATATAGAGCAGGCTGGCCTGGAAATCACAGAGATCCTCCTGCCTCTGCCTCTAGAGTGCTGGGATTAAAGGCATGTGCCACTTACACCCAGCTGTTTTTTATTTTTTTTTAAGAGTTTATTTTTACTTATGCCTGTATCCATGTGTGTGAATATCACATGTATGTATGGGTGCATGTGGAGGTCAGAAAAGTGTCTGGTCCTCTGGAGCTGGAGTTATAGGCAGTTGTAAGTCACCCAAAGTGGATGCTGGGAACAAAACTTGGGTCCTGTGCAAGAGCAGCAAGGGCTCTTAACCACTGCTCATCTCTCCAACCCCCATAATCTTTCCTTGTACAAAGTCTCTTTAGTAACTGTAATTTATCTTTTCTGCTTCTTAGGATTTTGCACACCAAATCAGGCTTTGGCCATTACAAAAGTACTTCTTCCAGAGACTCTCATGCGGTGCCATGTACAGTTCAGTAATACTTTGTTAGATATTCCAGCAAGTAAAGTTTTTCATGTCCATTCAGAATTCAGCATTGAAAAAGGTAGTTCCTGCCTGTTTGCCTGTTTGTGCACTTGTCCCTTTCCGTTCTTGTTGGAATCTGTTCAGTCTAATTTTATCTACCTGTGAAAACTTTCTCAATCAACATTTTTTTGAGGCAATCTCATGTATCCCATGCTGGCCTCAAATGCAAGAATGACTTTGAACTGATCCTCCTGCCTCCACCTGAGTGCTGGGATTATAGTTTAATGTGTTACTGGACATTGAGCCCAGAGCTTACTGCATGGCTGGCAAGCTGTCTACCAACTGAGCAACATCTCCAGTCCTATTCAACCAACTTTTAACACAAGTTGCCTAGAACACCCTGTGTTTTTCCATAATTTAATTATTTTTTTTAGACAGAGTCCCACTAAGCTGGCCTGGAACTTGCTATGTAGACCCTGCTGGCCTCAAGATCAAAAATCTGTCTGCCTCTACCTCCCGAGTGCTGGGATTAAAGGCCTGTACCACCATGCCCAGCTCATTTACTATCTTTTGGTCCTTATTCTCTGAAGGTCTGGACTGTGTCTAATTCATCTTTTATCTTCAACATGTATCATAGTATTTGACTAGTCCAAGTAACTGAATGGCATTAACAGGAAATAAGATGACCCTGGAATGGCTTTAAATCAGCTGATCTAAACTGACAGCATTTAGCTGGGCTGGTGGTACAAACCTCTAATCCCAGCACTCAGAAGGCTGAGGCAGGAGAATCACAATCAAGGCCTGCCTGAGCTGCAGGCTAACCTGGGCAACTAAACTGAGACTATGTTCAAAATAATAAGTAAAAAGAGGGCTGGATATATAGCTCAGTGGTAGATTGATCACCTACAATGTGGGAGGCCCTAGGTTCAATCTCAGTATTGAAAAATATATATCATGTGTATGTTTATCTGTCCGTCTTTGTATGACTGTATCAAATAAAAGGTATAAGCAGAATAATGCTACATCATAGGGGCTCTCTAATCCTAGACCACTTGGTTTGAACAGTATGGGTAATGAACAACCACTGAAGCCAGGTTCATTCAGCAAAGTGTTAAACACTGCGTATGAAGCACTAGAGCAGGAGCTGCAGATGGAGGAAAGCTTTTGCACTGAGGGTATGGCTCAGTGATAAAGCACTTACTAGAACATGTGATGCCTAATCACCAGGGAAGGGGAACAGAGAAGAGGTGGTACCATAGGCAACAAAACCAAGTTCCAAAAGTTTTCCTCTTCCTTCTGCATGCTTAGTCCTTTGTACCCTGCTGTGCCATATTATTTAACACAGACATGTTGACTTATTTATTGGTTAGCACTGTTAGGCATCAAGTTCAGCTGTGGGTTCTTTTTCTCTGATATTTTCCTCATAGTGGTCAATAAGGTACCGATACTGAATGCTCAACACTGTTCATGTTTTTTCTTCCTACATTCTTCCTTACTATCCTAATTCAGTTGCCTCCATTGAACCTCTGAACCTTCCTGCTCAGTTTTTCTTTCTTTCAGGGGTCTATGTCTGCCTAATCAAGGTTCGAGAGAAGTCAGAGGAGTTGCACCAAGCCCTCAGCCTGGCTGACACTTCAGTCTATGGGTGGGCCACCCTGGTCAGTGAACACAGAAAGAATGGAATGCAAAGAATTCTCATTCCTTTCATCCCAGCTTTTTATATGAACCAGTCAGAATTGGTTCTCAGGCACAAAGACACCGGGGAGCTCAGAGTCCTGGGAGTGGATAGAGTTCTTGAGAGCCTAGAGGTATGTGTCAATGTCTGAACTAACAGTACTGGAGACTAGGGATTTGTTTTCTGTTGCCTTTTTTTTTTTTTTTTTTAAGATAGACTTTTATTGCCGGGCGTAGTGGCGCACGCTTTTAGTCCCAGCACTCGGGAGGCAGAGGCAGGCAGATCTCTGTGAGTTCAAGGCCAGCCTGGTCTACATAGTGAGTTCCAGGCCAGCTGGGGATACAGGGAGACCCTGTCTCAAAAAAGACAAAAAAAAAAAAAAAAAAAAAAGTTCCATTTTAAAATTCTTTTAAAAAATATTTATGAGTGTTGTGTAAGTGCACCTGTGTTGTGCAGTGCCCACAGATGTAAGAAGAGGGCATCAGATCCCCTAGAACTGGAGTTGCAGAGGGTTGTTACCCACCATGTTGGTGCTAGGAACCAAACCCAGGTTCCCTGCAAGAGCAGCCAGTGCTCTAACCATTGAACCATCCCTCCAGCCCCAAAGTATTTAAAATTTTTTCTATTCCTGGGCTGAGGATACCTGGTGTCACCTGTAATCCCAGCACTTGGGAGAATCAAAAGTTCAAGGTCATCATTAACAATATAGCAAATTTAAGGGCAGCCTGGGCTGTATGAGCCTTTCAGTCTTTCAGCTCATCTTTCTTTATCCATGTGTGTGTGTGTCCAAGTGTGGAGGGTGGAGTTTGGCATCAGTCTTCCTCAATTGCTTTCTACATAGTAAGACTTTAATCTTTGTATGTCAATATGTAAGCATGTGTGTGGAGACAGAGGGCTTTGGATGTCTTTTTCTAACAGAGAGCATTTCTGCTTTTTTTTTTCGTTTTGTTTTTGGAAACAGGGTCTTACCATATAGCCATGATTGGACTGGAATTCACTATGTAGAGCATGCTGGCTTGGAACTCAAGAGATGCACCTGCCTCTGCCTCCCAAGTGCTGGGATTAAAGGTGTCACCATGCCAGATCCTCCACTTTTTCATTTCTCCCACTGAACCTGGAATAGCCTCAAGGAGCCTCCAGTTTCTGCCTCCCCAGGACTGGATTATAGGCACACTCCCATGCCTAGCTATTTTACGGGGTGCTGGGGATTGGACAAGGGTTCTCAGGCTTGCAAGGCATGCACTTTACCAACAGCCATCTGTCTCGTCCCTATCTTCTAATACATCTAAGGTGGTGAAAAAGTAAATGACTTGTCAGATGGCTAGCTGGAAATCCAGATCTTAAAAATTCTTGTACTATTTCAGACAATACTGACCTATCTTCTTTCAAACAAGTGTTTTCTTTCCTCCAAGGTCTTCTCCAGCTCCCCATTTCTAGCAGTGTCCAGCCACAGGCACTCTACCCTCATGACAGGCCTGATTATCTACCTAGTAAGAGCAGTCAACTTCACTGCCTTCCAGCAGATGGCGTCACCTGTTTTCATTAATATTTCCTGTGCGCTCACCAGTCAAAGTAAGGTTGTGGTAGTCAGAGCTATGAAGGATAAACCTGGTACAGGTGAGCATTGGGGATTTCTATTTTTATTTCACGTGTATGAGTGTTATGCCTGCATTATGTAAGTATACCTGTGTTGTAAAATGCCCATGGAGTCAGAAGAGGGTGTTGGATCCACTGGAACTAGTTAGGAGGGTTGTTAGCCACCACATGGGTGCTGGGAACCAAATCCAGGTCCTCTGCAAGAGCAGCCAGTGCTCTTAGCCACTGTGTCATCCCTTCAGCCTGAATTTCTATTTTTAATCTAGATGGGGAAAGAATGTATCAGATAGGGTCCCTATCTTTTTTTCTTTTGGGTTTTTTTGAGACAAGTTCTGCCTGTAGCCCCAGCTTGAACTCCACATGTACATCAGACTGACCTCTATCTCACAGACCTTCTGAGTGCTGGGACTGAAGGCATGAGTGTGCCACCACACCAGCTTTACTTTTTTATTTTTTTTTATTCTCTTTTTGAAGCAGAGTCTCCTTGTAGGCCCAGCTGTCCTGGAATTCACTGTGTATACCAGGCTGGCCTTGAACTCACAGAGATCCGCCTGCCTCTGCCTCCCAAGTGCTGGGACTACAGGCGTGCGCCACCACGCTTTAATTGATTTTTATGTCTATGAGTGTCTTGCCTGCATGTAAGTGCACCGTTGTCATGCAGAGCCAGAGGGTGTTGTATTCCCTGAAACTGAATTACAGACAGGTTGTTAGCTGCAATGTGGGTGCTGGGAATCGAACTCCGGTCCTCTGGAAGGGCAGCCAGTGCTCTTAAACCACTGATCCACCTCTCCAGCCCCCATTTTTTTTTTTTTTTTTTTTTTTAGTCTTACAGGGTCTCCCTGTAGCCCCAGCTGTCCTGGAACTCACTATGTAGACCAAGCTGGCCTTGAACCCACAGAGATCCACCTGCCTCTGCCTCCCGAGTGCTGGGATTAAAGGCGTGTGCCACCATGCCTGGCAGCTTTACTTTTTTAAAAAATCGGTTTGTGCAAGGCATGGTGGCACACATCTTTAATCCTAGTACTCAGGAAGCAGAGGCTGGCAGATCTGTGAGTTCCAGGCCTACTGGGACTACAAGGAGACCCTGTCTCCAAAAAGACGAAAAAAAAAAAAAAGATTTATATTTAACGTGTATTTTGCCTGCATGCATGTATGTGCAATACCCTCAGAGGCCTGAAGAAGGCATTGGGTCCCCTGGAACTGCTGTCCTGTGGGTGCTGGGAGCAGAACCTGGATCCTCTTTAAGAGCAGCCAGAGCTCTTAACTGCTGAGTCATCTCTCCTGCACCCCCCCACCCCCCCCACCCCCGCAACTAGCCAGATTTTTAAGACAGGGTATCATGTATCCCAAGCTGGCCTTGAATTTTCAAACTGGCCTTGAAGTTAGCAGAGCACCCTGAACTCCTGACCTTCCCCTCTCATCCTCCTCAGTGCTGGAAATAGAGGTGTACACCAGCATGCCCCTTTTGAGGTACTAGGTACTGAACTCAGTTTCCTGTATGCTTAGGCGCAACTAGCCAGATTTTTAAGACAGGGTATCATGTATCCCAAGCTGGCCTTGAATTTTCAAACTGGCCTTGAAGTTAGCAGAGCACCCTGAACTCCTGACCTTCCCCTCTCATCCTCCTCAGTGCTGGAAATAGAGGTGTACACCAGCATGCCCCTTTTGAGGTACTAGGTACTGAACTCAGTTTCCTGTATGCTTAGGCAGCCACTCTAACAACTGAGCTACATTCCCAGCCTCAGTTAATTTTATACTTAAATAATACTAAATTAAAAACTGAGTACCCTCTAAGCCCAATGTTTGGGAGGCTGAAACAGGAACTCAAGGCCAGCCTGGGCTACATATATAGCAAGGTCCTGTCTCAAAAATCAAGTTACACCAGTTCAACAGGAGTTAAATTTGTGACCTTTGTTACAGCAGACTAACATACATCAAACTTCTTTATCTGCTCATGTAAATTCTGAATTTTTTTGATCCTTGTGGTTCAGGGAACAGACTGGTCAGCTTTAGGCATAGCCAGCAAATGTTCCAGTGCTCTACCATTCCAGCCATGTCAATTCTGTCAAGTGAACTATTTACCCTATTTTAAACTTCTCAGAAAGTGTGGTGGCAAATGCCTATCATTCTAGTACTCAAAGCAGGACAGTGATTTTTTTTTTTTTTTTTTTTTTTTTTTTTTTTTTTTGAATTTTTTTTGTCTTTCTTTTTGTCTTTTTGAGACAGGGTCTCCCTGTAGCCCGAGTTGTCCTGGATTCACTATGGAAACCAGGCTGGCATCAAACTCACAGAGATCCGCCTGCCTCTGCCTCCCGAGTGCTGAGATTAAAGGCATGCGCCACCACACCCAGCCAGGACAGTGACTGAGACCCTGTGGGGTGGGGGGAGCACCAGATGCCAGACTGAGACTGGTAGATCTGGGGGAACAAAACTTACCAGGTTAATTTTATAATCCAAGCACTTGGAAGGTAGAGGATTGCAGCACAAAGTCAGCCATCTCAAAGACCAAAACAAATTCTAAACCTTTGTTTTCTTTGAAAGTATTTAGCAGATACTTTCAGATCAGGCAACTGGCATATGTGGGTAACTACAGAACAAAACTTAGCTTCCCTGATCCTAATTCCAGTTTAGAAATGATAGCAAGGTTAGATGGGATGAAAACAGAAAGACGTGTGTTGTGTTAATATTCAAAGCCAAAGGACCGTTCTCTTAACACTTTAGTCCTCATAATTATTGGGGGCGAATCAAGCTGAACCTGTTTCTTAATGGGAGAAAAGGTTTTGTTATTTGGCTTTTTGAGACAGGGTCTCACTATGTAGCCCTGGCTGACCTGGATGCTGGGTCTTTTGCAAGGGCAGGCACTCCTGAGCCCCATCTCCAGTCCAGGTTTTTCAGATATGGCTGGCTTTCAACTCAGAATTTAGACATCAAAGGCAACCTCAAGGACTATTCTGCCTCCAGGCACCCCTCACCCCAGTGCTTATAGGCTTGTACACTACCATATCAGGTTTCATGTGATACTGGTGATCAAACCCAAGGCCTCATGGATGTCAGGCAAGCACTCCATTGGCCCGTATCTCCAACCCACAAGAAAAGCTTTTCTAAAAAAATATTTTTTTATGCTGGGCATGGTGGCACATAACTTTAATCCTAGCAGAGGCAGGCAGATCTCTGAGTTCTAGGCCAATTGGGCTACAGGGAGTCCTTATATTAAAATGACCAAAAATATATTTTATATATAAGCCAGGCGTGGTGCATGCCTTTAATCCCAGCACTCAGGGGGCAGAGGCAGGCTAATCTCTGTGAGTTCAAAGCTAGCCTGGTCTACATAGTGAGTTCCAGGACAGCTGGGGCTACAGGGAGACCCTGTCTCAAAAAGACATATATATATTTATGGTAGTTAAGAGCACTAACTGCTCTTGTGGAGGACCAGGGTTTGATTCCCAGGACCCACATGGTGGTTAACCATCACTCCAGTTCCAGGGTATCTGACACTTTCTATTGATCTCTGTGCGCATTACACAACATGGGTGCACTTAACACACACGCAAGCAATATATTCATAAACAAAAATAATTTTTTAATGATTTTTATTTTATGTGTGAGTGTATTGCTTGCATGTATGTGAGTGCACCCATGTCATGCAATGCCGTGGTCAGAAGAGGGCTTTGGATTCCCCTGGAACTGGAGTTAAGGACAGTTTGTAGCTGCCATGTAGGTGCCAGGGATCGAACCCAGGTCCTCTGCAAGAGCAGTCAGTGCTTTTAAGCACTGAGCCATCTCTCCAGACCCACAAAAATGTATTTTTTAATATATTTTTTGCCAGGTGTAATGGTACACACCTTTAATCCCAGCACTTGGAAGGCAGAGGCAGGCAGATCTGAGTTCCGAGCCAGCTGAGGAGACCAAGTCTCAAAGACCAAAAACATAGATATAATTTTTTATTTTGTGTATGAGTGTTTTGCCTGCATCTAAGTGTACCAGTGCATTCAATGCCCATGGAAGCCAGAAGAGGGCATTGGATCCCTTGGAACTAGAGTTAAAAACATTGTTAGTCACATGGGTGCTGAGAACCCAGATTCTCTGCAAAAGCAGCCAATACTTTTTAACTGCTCAGACCTCTCTCCAGCCCCACCCCACCCCCACAAAAAAGATTGTGATGTTTGTGTGCACTTCAGTGTGCATGTATGTGGAAGTCAGAATAATCGAGGGAGTCTGAATCTCTCCATGTGGGTTCCACAGTCTGGGCAAGCATCCACACTGAGCCATGAAGCAGCTTTTGATGTTTTTGTGTGAATGTTATACCTAATCCAGTAGTATAAGCACATTTATAGCCCAGTGGGACAAACTGTTTAACAGGCATACCTGGGTAGAAAAAAAGGGGAAGAAATTGAGGGGCTAGTCCTACTAGTAGAACTCTACTAGTCAATCTGTACTTTTCCTCTTTTTTGGAGGAGAGGGGATGTATTTTTTGAGGTTTTATTTGTTTTATGTGTATGAGTGCTATACTCGTATGTGTGTGAGTGCACCTATGTCGTGCAGTGCTCAGGACAGTAGAGGCCATCGGATCCCTGGAACATGGGTACTGGGATTCAAACCCAAGTCTTTTGTAAGAACAGTCAGTGCTCTTAACGGCTGAACCATCTCTCCAACCCCTTTATTGCAATAATTTTAAAACCTAGAGTACTAGAACAATACTTGGAAGGTGGAGACAGGAGGACCAGAAGTTCAAAGTCTTCCTCAGGTATACATCAAGTGTTGGGGCTGAGTACAAAGGAAAAAAAGTTACAGTAATTAGACCTGTACCTAGATTTTTTTCAAACATCTGACAACTGTGCAATACAACCATGCTTATTTTTTAACTTATTTTATTCCTATTTATACATCTAAAAACAATACTCTCAGATGGGACCCATCAGATGTCAAAACTACCAAAAAAATGATTAACTACAAAGTTTTGAACTGGATTTGTTGTTGGAAGAGTGCTGACTTAGCAAGCATGAAGCCCCAGAACTAGATAAAAATCAAATATGGGGACTGGAGAGATGGCTCAGTAGTTAAGAACACTGTTCCTGCAGAAGACCCAGGTTCGAATCCCAGCACCCACATGGCAGCTAACAACTGTCTTTAACTCCAGTTCAGGGGATCCCACAGCCTCTTCTGTCCTCCACGGGCATTGCACAACATGGGTGCACTCACCTACATGCAGGCAATACACATACATATAAAACACTTGGGAGGCAGAGGCAGACGGATCTGAGTTCAAGGCCAGCCTGGTCTACATAGTGAGTTCCAGGACAGCTGGGGCTACAGGAAGACTCCGTCTCAAAAAGATCAAAAAAATAAATTTTATTTATATATATTTATTCATATATATATTATTTTTTTTTAAAATCAAATATGATGAAATGTGCAAGCAGTCCCAGCACTCAGAGCTAGCCTATGGTGGCACACGCCCTGTCTCAAAAAGAAGAAAAAATATCAAATGGGGGCAGGGGTTTTCAAATGGCAGATTTTAAAGCAATTTTTGTTAACACAGGACATATGGGCTCATAAACCAAGATTTTATTACTGTGGAGATAGAAAAACAAACAGATGAACGCTAAGATTAAGGGCTGGGTTCTGAATTTCACTTTTGAATAGGTAAGAGGACTTCAGACAGGGTGCCAGTCTACCCCAGGCTGTCCTGCGATCCTCTACGGGGAATCACAGGGTACTAGCACCACAACTAGTACATTAAAAATACATCATTTCTACCCTCCCTCTTTCCCCTCCAGTTCCTCCCATGCACCCCCCCCCCCAATACTCTAATGACCAGTTTCAGACACCACCTGCTCTAGATATGCTATTAATTATTAACGTATTTTGTCCTGTTAAGGCAATGCAGATCACTGTGAAGGTTCAGGTATCGTCAAACATTTTGTTGGTTCTTACCAGAGCCTGCTCTTTACTCTCTTCGCTGTGCTGGCATCAACAGCTTTCATCTTTCTAGGTAAGGGGCCTGCATGGTGGACTTTGACTTGGCAACTGACTTCATTTTATTTCACAAACTAAACAAGGATGAAAATTAGCTGTTTATCACAACTAATTCACTGACAAGCAGTTGACACTGAGCCTCCCTAGCCCAGTTACCTAGGGGACTAAAAAGTCCTCTTCAATTTACTAGCAAAGAACCAGCACACTAGACACAAGGCCAACTACCACCACCACTCAAGTGGAAACCACCAAGATACCTTTGCTGTAAGGTATAATCAGGATGACTGCTACAACTATTGCCTACACATGCATTTCCTCATCTTTTAGCTAAAGCTAAAAAAAAAAAAAAAAAAAAAAAAAAACC